ATGTTTTGTTTGTTTTACTTGAGTGTGTGTGTGTGTGTGTGAGAGTGTGTGTGTGTGTGAGTGTGTGTGTTATTGAGACATCATTCAGTAAACATTAATGATGCCAAAAATGAATGCTTTCTATTCTAAATATCAAGTTACGTTTGGAATCTGGTTTTGGAAATGTACAGAATAACGTCATGGGCATAGCTGAAAAGCTCCTGCAGCAATAACGTGACATACACCCTTTAATAAAACATTCATAACCATCATATTTAACCTTTTAATAATGAATTCACCAGTTTCTATTAAGATTGAATGATTTGTCATGTGACCTTTCATAGAATGTGTGTCTAACACAGGAATCCAGACTATAACCTTTTGTACTTTTGGTTTCTTTATGCCATGATATATGATATGTTGTGTGAATAAATTAAATGACTGTATGTGTTCAAATATGAATCATATGAAGCATCAGTAAAAGTTTACTTCATAATAACTTTCATACCACTCACTGTAATAATATTATATATATATAATCTTACAAGGAAGAAAACAAGAGCATGAATTAATGAAGATCTATTTTAAATTTGTCCTTCAATACAAATACATTGTTTCTGTTCTTGCACTCCGACACAGATATATCATCACCGAGTTGCATAAGAACAGCCATATTCCACCTGAACAATACATAGCATCTCAGGACTGTACATCTGTAAAATAGCACGTGTGCATATTCATAACACTGTCTATTTTCTCTATATTTTGCACATAACTTCTCAAAACATTTGCACATTCATAATTCCGTCTATTTTCTCTAGGCTATATATTTTTTTATCATCATATAGCTATTATTTTGTTTTAATTTATTGTCTATTCTCTTTATTATTAGTGTTATATTTCATTTCATTACCTTAAATTATATGTATGTCTGCACTTTGTCTGAACTTGTTTCCACTGGAAGCTCCTGACACCAAGACGAATTCCTTGTGTGTGTATAAACAGCTCTTTCTGATTCTGACATTTAAAACACATTTTGAGGTCTAGAAGCAATTGGTACAGTAAAAGTGCTCACATTTTTGGATTTCGATAGGACAATATGTATATATATATATATTGTCCCACATAAAACTTTTAAATATATAGGAGCCATGTATTTGATCATTTATTATTAAGTTATTATAAAGCATTATCTAAGGTTTTATAAATGGCTCTGTTGAATTATTCTGTTATAACACAAATGGTGTGATATTAATGCAGGTGTTACGATGGACCTAGGAAAGAAACTTTCCACTCCAAAAGACATCATGCTGGAGGAACTCTCTCTCCTCTCAAACCGAGGGTCGCGCCTTTTTAAGATGCGGCAGCGGAGATCAGAGAAATACACGTTTGAAAGCATTCAGAATGAAGCCAATGCCATGTTTAATGTAAGTAGCATCTACACAGATACACTGGCTTGGGCTACATGCTTATACTGTGCATAACAAACCATGACATGGCAGCACAAAAGATGCAAATCAATGCAATACATATTGTGGCGCTGATAATACCAATGATATCTAACCTTTCTTCTGATGTGATAAAGGCTCAGATATCTGATTTGATGTTGAACTTGACACTTAACCACTGACGCTGAGCCTAGTAAGACTAAACTGTTAAATAATTGTGATTTGCTCGTTTGAACTACTGTACGTGTGGTTTCTTTGTAAAGCAAGCATGTGCTCAGCTGAATGAATGAATGGCAGCCACACATGGATGATAGCACATGCCACGTGCCTGTGTCCTTCTGAATGTTCCTTCTTTAGGGTCCTACGTCATTTATCACTGTTCAAGTGTGTGTCTCTCTCTCTCTCTCTCTGTGTGTGTGAGTTTGTGTGTGTGTGAGAGAGAGTTTGTGTGTGTGTGTGTGCACCCATTCTCACTACTGTGTTCCAAAATGCATTTGTGCATAAAATGATAGCTTGTTAATGTGTCTCTTAAATGGAGGAGATTGCTCCAAAACAAGGGTCCAAGATCAAGTGAAGCGAATTATTTTAAAGTAAATCATAAATTTTGAAAGGAAAGAATATGAGAATGTGAAAGTGTTCTTCTGGCTGTGACGTGTTGTGATCCTAACTGCTTTGGCTGGAAATAGTGGTGTTGACATGAATTTTCCCTTGACCTCTTAGGTATAAAAGTGTTTTTGTTTAATAATTGTAACAGAGAGTGATAGAAGAGAAGATACCCCTCTCAACATACAAGTGCACTTTGGGGGAATCAAGCATTATGTGCACAGAGATTTTAATCTGTGTCAAATGTAGATCAATTTACCCAACTCAGGAGAAACTGCTGCACAACTTTCACAGCACGATTTTAATAGTGGAACAAAGTCACATTCAGGCCAATTTGTCCACAATGTGAAATTATTTAAATATACGTTTTAATATAAAATTGTTTGTAAAGTTTGCTACACATGCACAATGAGCTACCATCCAAGTTCAAACTGACACTTCATTTCAGAGTGAAAATCAAGTCAATGCAGAAAACACAGAAAATAAAGAACTTGCATCAAAAACACCACCAAACACACCAGATCCCAGAAACCCAGCAAACCCTGAGGACATTGCACCAGGTATGTCAAAATCAGCAATGTTTATAATGCACAAAAAATGGCTTAGAAACAAATTTCAATAAGAAATTGCTGTTGCACTTTATTTTACAGTACGTGTACGAACAGTGTAAGAGAGTACTGATAACATAATGTAACTGCATGGGGTAGGGTTATGTTTAGGGGCAGGCTCAGGGTTAGTACCTAATTACTATAATAAGTACATTGTATGTGCAAGCAGAGCAGGACTGAAAAAAGTGTTACACTTTATTTGAAGGTGTTTTTGTTACAGTGTAACTATACATTTAAGTACTGAGTAATATTAACTGCATGTACTTACTATATGGTTAGGGTAAGGATTTGGGTTTAGCTTAGGGTTAATTGCATGCAAATATGCATACTTAATTGTTATTATAATTGTAAGTACATGCAACATGTGTAACAAGGACACCTTAAAATAAAGTGTTACCGAAAACTGCTACTGCAATTGTTAATATATTTCACAAGTAATTACAAAGAAACATCAAGTAACAGTGAATTAAACTAGACATTTTGGTTTGAAACGGAAATGGTATATTCTTGTAAAACATTCTCCAATAATTGTACTATAGATAAAATGACAGTATGGTAACAAGAACAAGAATTAGCTAATTTTATTTCAAAACGGCTTCATTTGATCAATTTGAATAACATGGTTTATATGAGTTATTAATGGATGTCAGTGGCAGATGATTGCAGTGCTCTTGCTTGTTATCCACACTCACTAGCTTGTAAGATGCTTGCAAAGCCTTGTATCATGTGTGAAAGAGCAAGTGCAATGGATTTGATACATTTAATTTCACATTTAGAATGACTGATTTTACTTTTACACTATTATACAATTATATCCAAAATTTCATCCCAAAATAAAATAACTAAAATGTATTTTATTATTGAAAATTTGTGAAATGCATTTGTATCGTTTGCCTGATGTTTAACATTATATTCACAGTGTTGGAACCTTTGCTTGTATTGTAGCTCAAAAAGTAGTACACACAAACTGTGCAAATAAAATGCATATGTATTTCAAATTTCTGTTGTTGGTGATATATTAAGCATGTATCATTTTGATATATGAGCAATAATGTTAATAATAATAATGTTCCGAATAGTGTTTTCACCACATGTATCTGCACAGTAAATCATCATCATCTAGAACAGTCTCTGGACGAATCAGTCTTAGTTTATAACTAAGAGCCACAGTACACAGACATATCCTCTGACACGGTCTATATTTACAGGAGGCATAAGTAGCCTTGAATTTGACACTCTCTCTCTCTGTGTGCTACAGTTACAGTAAACACAGCGACTTCCAGACAGTCCCCAAATGCTTCCTTTAAGCTCTTCAAGAAAATATGCATGGAAAAACATGAGCCGTTTTACAGTAGAATACTTAAAGCCCATTAAATAATAAATAGCATTAACTACCTACATAGATAACTACCCAACAACAACCAAAACTAATTTAGGAAACACCTGATGTTATGTAACCAACAACAAACCAAACCCTAACCCCAACCTTAGCCGTATAGTAAGTACTTGTAGTTATTTAATAAGTACTTATTTTTGTAATTGTAACAATGTCACTTGAACTTAAGAGTGTATCCCTAATTTATTATGTGTTCAAATCTGAATTACACATTATTTTGTTGATTTAATACTGAATATCTTTTAAATAATAGCTCGAACTATAAGCTATCAGTTCTGGCATTTGCTTTTGCTTGATATTATTAGCGCACAAACACTAATTGCAGTGACTGACACACTATTTTAAAGGTTTATGTATGGGGTTTAAGATTAAGGGATCTAAAATATGCTTATGCATTAATATGTGCTTTATTAGTAGCCTACTAATAAATATGCTACTCATATGCATGCTAATAAGCAACTAGGGTTACACTTTATTTTAAGGTGTCCTTGTTACAGTGTAATTATACATTTAAGTACTGAGTAATATTACTTAGTTGCAGTGACTGACACACTATTTTAAAGCTGATGGAATATTCTTGAGGTCTCGCCTAACCTAATTAAATTATGCTAATTATAGTCAAAAATATACTTCATACAGATTCACATGAAGCTGTATATTAACTGTAAGTGTACTTCAAAACACAGAAAGGTCATGGCAAATATAATCTGCCTGTGTGTAGCACATTGATAAAATCAAGAACAAAATCTAACATATAAAAAGCCCAGTCAGTGTGTATTTGATTTATTTTCAAGGACGTGATTTTCAGTAATTCATTTCACTCAGATCTCTAAATGTTTACATAGCCATCATGACACAAAATAAAATGTGAAAAATATGCTTATACTTTACTCTGGGGGCCAATTCTCACTATTAGCTCTGACTTTTCCCTCAATAAACTCGTGCTGCTTATTAATAGTTAGTAAGGTAGTTGTTAAGTTTATGTATGGGGTTTAGGATTAAGGGATCTAAAATATGCTTATGCATTAATATGTGCTTTATTAGTAGCCTACTAATAAATATGCTACTCATATGCATGCTAATAAGCAACTAGGGTTACACTTTATTTTAAGGTGTCCATGTTACAGTGTAATTATACATTTAAGTACTGAGTAATATTACTTACTATATGGTTAGGGTTACTTGCATGTAATTATGCATAATTAATTGTTATTATAATAGTAAGTACATGTGTAACAAGGACACCTTAAAATAGTAATAATAGTGAGAACTGGTCCCTAAACTGTGACTAAAAATATGTATTTTAATTTTTTTTTTAAATCATAAATTTGAGCAGTTTGCTACATGTTTCATCAGCTTTGAGTCACATGATTTTGCGTGCATAGGCTATTATTTTGCTCCAGTTTCGTGTAGAATTGCATAAGTTTTTGTTGATATCCCTGAGGTCATCCATATCATACTGTTTGAAATCCTGGAGCATCGCATCTGTTCTGTGACACCACATTTTATAGTCGGTAGTAATTGTAGTAAGTACATGTGTAACAAGGACACCTTAAAATAAAGTGTTACCGCAACTAGTTAATAGTGAGAATTGGTCCCTAAACTGTAACTAAAAAAAAAAAAAAAAAGTTAAATCATAAATTTGAGCAGTTTGCTACATGTTTCATCAGCTTTGAGTCACATGATTTTGCGTGCATAGGCTATTATTTTGCTCCAGTTTCGTGTAGAATTGCATAAGTTTTTGTTGATATCCCTGAGGTCATCCATATCATACTGTTTGAAATCCTGGAGCATCGCATCTGTTCTGTGACACCACATTTTATAGTCGGTAGTAATTGAAATATAATAATATTATGATATACAATCATGCTAAAATATGATTAAAAAAAATATATATATGATTCCAACCCGATCTCATGAAAGTGCGTATAAATAGTACGCCAAATAAAAACAAAAACTCGTGGTATTGATACGCCAAAATGGACTTTGGCGTGCATATGCTACGCGATGGGTAGGTTTAGGGTTGTGGGGTAGATGCGTGTCATATGCACGCGAAAACTGCGTATTATATGCACGCCAAACACATACGTGTCATATGCACGCTAAAGTCATGATTCTGTTGTACGCTGCTGCAATCACCAACGATCTAAATATCAGAGCGGATGTTTTGCTGGGTCTCCTGAGAATATGCGGGTTGCTCCTGCGGACTTTGCTGAGGAGTGTAGCGGTGCATGCGGGGCGGAGTCAACGCGTCCAACTCCACAACATCCAGCAGAATAATCTCCAGCTCAGGACCCGATGAGTGCGGAGGAGCAGGAATGCATGGCGTTGCATGGCGTTATTGTCTTTAGGCCTGTGAGAGGATCTTTGACCATACGGGTTTACTGCGCAATGAAGGATTCCGACAGCAAGTAACTTGAGCTGCACGCGCATTATGAACTCCGCTCCTTATGTAGGCTATAGTAGATGTGGATATGCACGCTTCTAAACGAGTACCAATATACTGGACACGTGTAGGTGAGCTGTTCTTGTTTATTAGGCTAATGACTGTGTCTCAAAACTCAGCTAGCAGCCTACATGGACAGCGTTTGGGCATCATAGGCGAAAATGCGGCATAGAGCTGGTCACCTGATGCGCATGCGCAGGAACAGGTGTAACGGCATGCTGAGCGTCTTTCTGCTTTTGTTTATCATGTCATGCAGATACTGTTACAATACGACATAATAATAGATTCTGTTTCATAACTACTTTCTATGCTTTTTCAAAGGCTGTGCACATTCAGCAGTCTCACTGCGCCTTTTAATGTAAATAAGCTCACCCAGATCTTTGTGTTAATGTTTTTCTGATAGTTATGTCACTGTGTTTTAATACTCTCCGTTTAAAAGATAACAGTACCACGAATAGCTATTGTTCTAGTTCTTCTATGATGAACAGCTGCAAAGCAATTTAATAAGACTGCGCTTTGCTGCATAGTATTCACACGGGTAAACTCCAGAGTATCATAATTATGCTCTAGCTTAAATATTAAAGAGCTTGTAAGAACCGCACAAATTCTGCAGAAAAGTTTTGTTTTTAAATGTAGTTTCATACTGTGAGATGCAATGCAATTCTGCATTTTTTTGTATGTTGATGCAGGAATTCAGCATCGGTGCTGCATCTGCCTACAGCCCATCATCTTCATGTGGTAGCCATGGCAATGGTCCAGCATTTACAGTAATATACTGCAACACCGCGGCAACAAGTTCTACATTCATTCCTTTCATTAAGTAAAAGTATAGACATCTTACCAGAAAATGAATTTGGTAGAACCGTTTAGAATATTACTTGAGCCTATTGTACTTAAGTATGAACATAAAAAAAAAAATTTTTTTTATTGAAAGTAAAAGTACAAGTAAATTCAAAATAGAAAAGGAGCATTTAGATTTATTTACACAGACTGTTTAATGCAGCTCAGAGAGGACATGGATGCATTTAACCAGCAGTTACAAATGCATAAATAGTGCTTTGTTTTAAACATAAAACATTGAATATTGATATTTGAAAAGATTGAAAAATAACATGAAGAGATACTTGAAATGTGAAATTAAAGCCGCCAGTAGGCTAGGTGGCATTGAGATTAAATTGATTCATTCAGGAATTAAACATTTGGCTGTTTTAATGAGTGAGTCACTGAATCATTCGTTCAAAAAACTGATTCAGTCAAAAAGGAAACCCCGTCCTGTGTATCGCGAAACACAGCAAAAACAAGCATCTGAAATGAAACTTAATACTAACGTTATTAAACTTGTATAAAATCAATATTACATTTGTTATCATGCTGATATCTGGAGAAAATCGAGACTCTTAGTGTGATATAGATCACACAGTGTTTGCATGCACTCTCTGGCTGTGTTTTTCTGATATACTCGATCAGTCATTTTCTTAAAAAAATAAAATTTAAATACTTTTTAACCACAAATGCTCATCCGCATGGTGGAAATCATAGGGTCTTATTTAAGCAGACTGCATGAAAACATACGAATGAGATTGTACAAATTCATTCAAATTCACCACCAAATACCCAAATATTTTATACACTAGTTACGGATTGCCATGAGTGTTTGTACAGCCTATTCTGAAGAATTCAGGTAACAAGAGTTTAAAAAAAACAAACCACCCTGTCATGAAATGCACAGAGTATGATCTAAAACCAAAGACAATCTTTATAAAACAGATAGTTCCGGTGCTTGATTCTGATTGGCTGAGCAGCGTTCGAAGCTGTTGTAAATGACGCTACAAAGTAACACACACCTTTGTTTACGTTTGTGTGTTGCTGTTTCTGTTTCTGAGGAGCTACATTGTTTGGTGGAAGAATACTGTTTTTATTAATATCATTACACTTTATTTGCTCTGCTTTATTTTGTGAAACATTGATTTTCTCTCTTCATATCGCTCACCCACAACCTTTCTCTGTGTGTCTCTCCCTCTCTGTAGGTCTTCCTTTGTTAGCCAGTGTTTTACCGCAGTGCCTGTCCCAAGGAGCCTTCATGAACAACCCCCTTCAGTGACCTCCATTGACTTTGCTGGAAATGCTGTGCCGAGTAATGAATTTGTTCTTCTATCTGCATCCATCCTCTTATTGCCAGCATGCCTGGATGCAGATGAATCCATGCGTTGCTTTCACAGCTGGACTGATAAAGCAACGTGCCGCAACTTGTGGCTAGAAGTCACATGTTCACGCTAAATAAAGAGCTACTGTTTTGAATGGTTCCTTATATCCCAATGGTGTGCTGTCAAATCCTGCACGTCGAAAAACAATCCAGTGCAGTTTATTTTACTCTTTTTGTAGGGCACTGTGAAGTTGGCCTTCTCTGTCAGGGACTTCTGGGCACTAATTTTGCCTAAAACAGATGCCTCAACCTCAAGTTGCTTCAGTAATTGACTCTGGTTGTTTGCTAGAGAGGGCCAGGCTCTGACCTCATGGCATGGGTCAAACTGTTTAAAAAGCCTGGGGGTAACATGGCTGGAACCGGTGCCTGGAGTGGGTCAGGACTGGGCAAGTCCTACCAGCCGGGAAGTATGATCTCTCTCGCTTTGACCAAAGGTCTTCTCAACGAGCCAGGCCAGAACAGCTGCTTTCTTAACAGTGCTGTGCAGGTGAGTGATGTTCTGGTAAATATTGAAAACATGCGTAGGTGTGTGAGGTAGCAAATAGTGAATGTACAATGCTGATGCAAATAAAAGTTGCAAATACTCGCAGATGTATTCATATTATGAAATAGTGGGAACTTGCTTATAAGAACTGTTTTAGCATCCATGAAGATCCACTAAGAAAAAATAGTTATTTTAATTAAGAACTGTTCTCCGAAAGGTGAACCAAAAATGGTTCTTGCTGTGAAAAAACCCTTTTGGAACCTTTATTTTTTCAGCGTTTATACACTCTAAAAAATAATATGCTGACTTAAACACACACACACACACACACACACACAAAACAGACTATACTGAGTTAGAGGAACTGTAATGTTGGTTTTGTGTTTTGTTTCATGTTCATTGTTTTCATGTCTTTTATTTAATTTTTTCATAGTCATGGTTCCTGTCATGTGTTTCTCTTGCCCTCATGTGATCCTGCTATTGGCTGTCTTGTTCATGTGTCTTGTTCTGATTGGTTGGTTTGAGTCATGTGTCCTGTGTTTCCATTGGTTTATTGTCTTGATTATTCCAGGAGTTCCTTGCTTGTCATTAATCTCTTTGTGTATATATAACCCTCATGCTTCATTGTCCATTGTCTAGTTTTGTCTATCCAGTCCTATGCAAAGCATGCTGGGAACCTAAAATCCTCAACCCAATATTTCCAAAGTTAACAAGACTTTCATTAAGTTACTACAACTTAATTTTTAAAGAAATTCAATTATCGCAGAAATCAGGGGTTAAGTTGAGTCAAAATGACACACATCATTAAGTTAATGTAGTGATCAACATTCCAACTGAACTCAACAAAATAATATTTATATAAAAAATTTCGTTTATATTTAATATATTTTATTTATTTTTAAGTTTTTTCAAACTTGCAACCATGCATTTAAGTTGTGGTAAAAGGTGCCCTGAATATTTTAATTAGTTTATAATTAAGGGTGAGAAATGTTTGCATATGGTACAAACTAAAGACTAGTTTCTTACAGGTTCTTTGGCAGCTTGACATCTTCAGGAGGAGCCTGCGACAGCTCTCTGGCCATTTCTGCTTGGGCGAAGCCTGTATTTTCTGCGCTTTAAAGGTGTGCACATGAAGGCTCAAATGTCTCAAACCCTAGTAAGCAAATTGTAAATCGCTAATTTATGGTAATTTTTAAAGTTTGCATGCAATCTAATTTACGAAAGTCCTAGTTCTTCCCTATTTTGACTCTGAGCTTGATTTTGTCCACCTGGAATTGATTGGATCATTAATTGCTGTGATCTCATGTGTGACACATTGCTGGATTATTGCTTAGACCTCACACACGTCAGATTATGAGGACACATGAATTAAAAAAAGAGAAAAAATGTGCACACAAATCATTTATAATAAACACCGCAATATTCCATAAAACTTAAGTCCAAATAATTATCAGTTTTGATTTCATGGTGACCTAAAGATCTAATTTCAACCAAAATTTCAGAGAACATAGCATGTGTCCTAAGGATAAAAATATTCCATACTGCTTTGTCAAGCTCTGTGGAAAAATTATTCAAAATAGTGGATACAAGAAACAATATGTGTCCCTGCAGCACAAAAGCAGTGTTAAGTCGCTGGGGTATATTTGTAGCAATAGCCAACAATACATTGTATGGGTCACAATTATACATTTCTCTTTTATGCCAAAAATCATTAGGATATTAAGTAAAGATCATGTTCCATGAAGATATTTAGTAAATCTCCTACCGTAAATATATCAAAACTTAATGTTTGATTAGTAATATGCATTGCTAAGAACTTCATTTGAACAACTTTAAAGATGATTTTCTCAATATTTAGATTTTTTTGCACCCTCAGATTCCAGATTTTCAAATATTGTGCTATCCTAACAAACCATACATCAATGGAAAGCTATTCATTCAGCTTTCAGATGATGCATAAATCTCAATTTAGAGAAATTGACCCTTATGACTGGTTTTGTGCTCCAGGGTCACATTTAATTTAGTTCTTTAAATTCTAAAGGTAATAGTACAGTTAATGAAGATTCTTCCAATGAAGAACATCTTAAGTCAGTTATGCACTTCCATTATAGTTAGGATGTTGTCTTTGTATAAAGCCGTAAACAAACAGTGAGTCTGGGCTTATTCAGTTCTGTGAGTTGACATGACACAGACATTCATAATCATACATTTTGCAACATATATTTTTCTCAAGGAACTCTATATTGCATTTCTGTTTGTACGTGAGGTTTCACTGTTTCTTTCTTTCCACAGAGCATCTTCTGTCAGTTCCAGCAGAGTGGAGAGCGGGCACTGCCGTCAGATACCCTGCGTCACGCTCTGGCCGAGACCTTTAAAGATGAGCAGCGCTTCCAGCTGGGCCTCATGGATGATGCAGCCGAGTGTTTTGTATGTCTGACCTCAGAGAGAAAACTTTAATTTCGAATTTCAATTTATTTGAGATAAAAACACCTCTCTGTTTAGCCATGGTGCAAGAGAGTCTTCTTAACTGTAGATTTAAGCCTAATCTTTTTACAAAGAAGGTTTCTCAGGCCAGTATGGTTTTATTAAACTGGAGTTGTATGGCAGTGCTTCAAGTTGCATGCATCTTTGGGAATTTAAAGTGGTTTGTACATCACTGTGTCAGCTGATCTCATTTGATCAGGGTCACAAATGACATTCACTTGTGTGCAGTGGTCTCAGCCAGATTTCGTGAGCTCTGCAGTCTATGGCTATTGCTTAAATGTTTGCATTTTATATTAAAAGCTGCATAGCAGAGCTAAAGGGATAGTTCACAGAAATATGAAAATCATGTCATTATTTAGTCATGATCATGTTGTTCCAAAGCTCTATAATGTTCTTTTTTATATATATATATAAGGTTTTTAGCTGAAACTGTGCTCCTTGGTGATTCATAAAATGCAAGTTAATGGCTGCATGTCTTTGAGAATAAAAAAGCATATCAAGGAACCCAAAATTAAATAGCCGTGGCTCCTGATGATATATTGAGGTCTTATGAAGCGAAACGATCAGTCTGTGCAAGAAACTGAGCATCATTTACAACATTATTACCTCTGATCCAGAGCCTCAGGCAAATGAGGAAATATGATTCTTTTCCACGAACTGGTTCTTTCAGACAGTTTGATTCAATGAACTGGTTCAGTTCAACTGTTCGTTTAAAGTTATCATGCAATGACGTCACATATATGCAATTGTATTATTAAAGCACCCAATAATGATGTGAAACGTGGATGTTTTATGTGTCTAAAGCATATAAAGTGAATAAACTCGTCTTCATCAGCTCACCCTTTTATGTAAACAATGAGAAACTAAAAACGTTCATTTGGCCAAGTGTTCGGTTCATGCATATCAGCAGCTCATCGGTCTTCGGTCCGAGTCGAACTGTTTGCAGTTAGTGTCTGTTTGCAGGAGCTGGAGCGCTGAATCAGTTCATTCATCAGAGAATCAGATACACCGCTATTCCGGCTCATTTCCAGTCGCAGTGACTGAAAGTGAGTTTTGATTGAGTCTGATGTGATGAACTGATTCAGCTAGTTCTCTAAAAAGAACTGGTTCAAAAGAATGATTCGTTCACAAAGTGAACCGTTTGCCTGAGGCTCTGCATCACAGGTAATAATGTAGTAAATGATGATCAGTTTCTTTCACAGACTGAGCGTTTCGCTTCATAAGACCTCAATATATCATCAGGAGCCACGGATATTAGTTTTGTGTTCCTTATTCTCAAAGACGTGCAGCCGCTGACTTGCATTATATGAATTGCCAAGGAGCAACTGTAGTGCGAGTGTTAAATCTGAGTATACTAGAATACTTCACAAAAACAAAAGGACAAATTTTGAAGAATGTACTAATCGCTCTTTTTTTTTCATGCAATTGTGATGAATGTGGACTGGAACTTTCAGGCTTTAATTAAAAGGACACAAAATCAAAAAAGTAATTAAAAAAAAGTAATATATGTTTGTTCCACAGAAGAGAGAAAGTCACAGGTTTGTAACATTTGTGAGGTTTGTAACTCTTTAACAATTCACTAGTTGCATATATTGTAGATTTAAAACAATTAAAATGACTGTGTAGGTATGTTACTTTGACATCTGAAATCTCTCATTGTCTTTTAGATGCCTTTTAGATGAAACGGACTGTTTCCTAATACATATGATATAAGTGTCTCATTATAATTTACTAATCTTTTCATAATTCTGCCCCCTAAAACTTACACTAGTTACTCCGCCCCTACTTCTCTGTCCATTATTTCCATCATGTAGTGTTTCGATTTGATTTAATTACCATAATTCATCTCTCCTCATGCTTTTCTTTCCGGCCTTCATAGGCACTATACAAATCAAACAGTATTGTTATTATGCACTGCGTCAGCATGGCTTTGTTTTGACCGTTTGCTCAGTGTAATTTGATCTGTGCATTGCAGAGTAACTGTGGGCAGAGTATAAAAATCCGCCGTGTGCTGATGAACTGCCCAGAGATCGTCACCATTGGCTTCGTGTGGGACGCTGAACAGTCTGACCTCACTGAAGATGTCATCCGCTCTCTGGGTCCAAACCTCAATCTCTCGGGGGTGAGGTCAAATCTCTCCACACTATTATAGCTGTCTTCATTCATTATCAGTGTTTATTATTCAGTGTCTATTCAATATGATGGTGTTGGGTAATTATACAACTGTTTGTCATGTTTAAATTAAAACATTGATTTACTAACATGTAGGGAGACTGGCGGATATACAAGTCCAAAACTAAATGTCTATTATTACGCATTTTTACCTGAAGATTTTGTGTTTTTTTGTATATATAGTGTCTGGAGCGATGTCCAAAAGTCTCATAATCTTCCGTTTAGAATTTTTCTAATTTGTTTACAAATGTTTAAATGCAAATTATATCATGAATCTAAAATGTTTGTGATTAAATTGAACTTAAAATATATATATATAAATGTGGAGTTGGTAATTAGAATATTAATTATTGGTATTTATATCCCCCTTTGCTGACATGATCTCCACAGCAGCATTATTATCATAACTAAATCTAAAACCATTAAAAATATATTTCATCAAGTACTTAAATGACTACAACTACAACTATTCATACAAAAAAGAAAAGAAAAAGATAAACACACTACAAAATCACTAAAACGTTAACTTAAATTTAAATGAGAACAGAAAATATAAAAATAAAATATAATAAAAAATATAAACAAAAACCACTATAGTGTATCGGCGATAAAATAACATACTCAACAAGTTTGTGATGCAGCATGTTTTTTTTATTGTTTTCCCATAGTATCAAATTAACATTAACAGTATCACAACATATATTCATGTTACAGAATGTACAAAACCTAAAAGATAAGTAAAAAATGAATGAGAGAGGAAAAAAGGGACATATATATACATGTAAACATGACAACAAATAATAAAAAATGTCACACCCTTAGTGATCTTTAAATAAGAGATAAAAGAAAATTAAAGGAAGTTAAAACAGACCTATGTACGTCAAGAAAGCTTTTTTATATATTCCCAAAGTGGAGACCATATCGGCCAGAATTTGTCAGATTTTTTATGTTTATCATAGGTGAGCTTTTCATGTATCAATCTGTGATGTCCACATTTTAAAAGTAACAAAATGCATATTTAACCAAACATACCAGGACAATAAATAACTGTATAGCGTCTTTTTTAAACACACTGTTCACATTAAGATTCAATAAATACAAAGCTGGGGTCATATCAAAGTTTAGTTTAATAAGGCCTTTCATTACGCTATGTATTTTCCAATATGGCAATATTTTGTCACAGTACCAAAAACAATCAATTAATGTACCTTTATCTTTTTTACACTTGAAACACAGGCCTGTAGCATTGATAAACATCTTCTCAATACGCATCGGTGTAAGATATAGCCTATTAAAAAATATAAAGTTGAGCTCTTGGATCTAGGTGACTAAACCAGAGGAGACATCATGAACCTTGGCACACTATGACAAAACCATCCTGTACATCAGCTCGAGCTAAAGGCAGTTCACCCTTTTATTCTGATGTTTAGACATCGCAGGCTGCAGATGGGATGAATACATTGCTGTAGACTAAATGTGTCACATTGTGATGCACAGTGCTTCAAAATATCTAATTTTCCTAGTTTTCAATGTCAGTTTGACTGTTCTCTCTGTTCTCTCTTCAGCTGTTTTATAGAGTCACTGATGAAAACGCCAAGAAGAGAGATCTCCACCTGGTGGGAATGATCTGTTACTCTAGTCGACATTACCTAGCATTCGCTTTTCACAGCAAGTCTTCCAAATGGATCTTTTTTGATGATGCAACCGTGAAAGAGGTATTTAACAAACAAACACACACACACACACACACACACACACACACACACACACACACACACACACTCACACACACACAC